CTTATCACCACCATCATCAACATCATCAGCATCCACAACCACAACCATCCTCATCCTTATCCCCATCCCCCCATCATCATCGTGACCATCATGATTGCCACCATCATCAGCAACCTCTTCATCCTCATCTCCCTCATCATTATCAGCGTTACCATCATCAGCAAAACCATCAGCATCAACATCACCCTGTTTACAACCACAACCGTTATCATCGTCATTATCACCCCTCCTCATGATCAACACCATCATCATCATCACCATCATCAGCATCATCATCACCACAACCATCATCAACATCATCAGCACCCTCCTCTTCCGCATCACCTCGTCACCATCATCACCATCATCACCATCGCCGTCGGCATCTACATCACCAGCGGCATCAGCATCAGCATTACCCTGTCCACGGCCACAACCATCCTCATCCTCATCCTCACCCTGCTCATCATCAGCACTGTCATCGTTATCACCATCATCATCACCACCATCAGCATCATCATCATGCACACAGCCACAGTCAGCCGCATCATCATCCTCATACCCTGCATTTTCATCATCAGCATCAGCAGCATCGTCATCATCAGCATGATCAGCATCAGCATGATCCTGCCCACAACCACAGCCATCATCATCCTCATCGTCGCCCCCCTCATCAGCATCGTCATCATAACGGTCCGCACCAGCATCATCATCATCATCATCATCATCATCATCAGCATCATCATCATCATCATCATACTCACCAGAACAAGCATCGTCACCAACAACATAGCATCAGCAGCATCCTGCCCACAATCACATCAATCCCCATCCTCATCTGCATTCTCACCCTGGCCCCCCTCATCCTCATCATCATCCTCCTTCTCGTCATCGTCATCAGGATCGTCATCATCAGCATCAGCATCATCAGCATGATCATCGTCATCATCATCATCACCATCCCCCCTCAGCAGCAGCAGCATCAGCATGGTCAGGTCCACAAGGACAATCATCCTCATCATCACCCTCATCCCCCTCATCATCATCATCATCATCATCATCAGCATCATCAGCATCATCATCATCATCATCATCACCATCGTCCTCATCATCATCAGCATCATCATCAGCACCATCATAAGCATCATAAGCATCACCAGCATCATAAGCAGCATCAACATCGTCATCATAATCATTACCAGGATCATCATCATCAGCATCCTGCCCATCGCCACAGTCATCCTCATCCGCATCATCATCCTCCTCCTCATCCGTATCCTCATCAGCCTCATCATCATGATGATCATAATCACACTCACCAACATCATCAGCATCAGCATCCCCCTGTCCACAGCCCCAAGCATCATCCTAATCATCACCCTCCTGGTCATTGTCATCATCATCATTATCAGGATCACCACCATCATCAGCATCAGCATCCCCATGTCGGCAACCACAGGCATCCCCCTCCCCTATCCACATCCCCCTTCGCCATCATCATCATCGAAAACATCATCACCACCAGCATCCTCAGCGTGGTCAGCATCAGCAGCATGCTGTCCACAGCCACAGTCGTCCACATCCTCATCCCTACCCCCCATCATCTCCACCCCCCTCATCATCATCAACATCATCATTACCACCAGGACCATCATCGTCATCAGTATCATCATCGTCATCATCATCATCCTTGTCATCCCCTCCATCGTCATCGCCATCGTCATCAGCATCATCATCCAGAATCACCACCAGCATCAACATCAGCACCGTCCTGTCCACAACCGCAAGCATCCTCATGCTCACCCCATCCCCCTCAACATCATCATCATAATCAGCATCAGCATCCCTACCAGCATCATCAGCATCGAAATCAGCACAATCCTGCCCACGGCCACAACCATCCTCATCCGCAGACTCATCCCCCTAATCATCCTCACCATCATCAGCATCACCACCATCATCATCATCATCATCATCGGCATGATCCTGTCCACAACCATAGTCATCCTGATCCTCATCCTCATCCATCATCATCAGCATCATCGCCATCAGTCTCAGCATCTTCAGCGTCAGCATCACCCTGCCCACAACCACAATGGTCCGCATCCTCGTCCTCTTCCCCCTCGTCATCATCATCATCGTCATCATCATCCCAAGCATCGTCAGCATCATCCGCATCACCATCACCCTGGCCACGACCACAATACTCCTCATCCTCATCACCATCGCCCCTCATCATCAGCATCAACATCAACATCACCATCATCACAACCATCGTTAGCGTCATCAGCGTCAGCATCATCATGACCATCACCACTGTCATCATTGTCCTCACCCTGCGTCCCCTCATCACCGTCATCATCGTCATCAGCATCATCAGCACCGTCGTCATGACCATCACCAACCCCACCAACACCATAAGCATCAACGTCATCCTGCCCACAATCACAATCAGACTCACCTTCATCATCATCAATCTCACAATCATCAGCACCATCATCATCCTGAACATCCGATCCACAACCAATCATCCTCATCCTCACCCCCCCCCCAATCATCATCACCATCAACATCATCAGCATCCGTGCCACCCTGTCCGCAGCCACAGCCATCCCCATCCGTATCCGCATTCCCCTAATCATCATCCTCGTCATCAGCATCAGCATCATCATCATCATCAGCATCATCATCATCAGCATCATCATCATCGCTAGCATCGGCGTCATCAGGAACAACTGCACCTTGGTGACAACCACAATCATCCCCATCCTCATCCCCATCCCCCTCACACTACCACCGTCATCACGATCATCATCATCAGCATCATCGTCATCGGCATCATCATCAGCATCACCATCAGCATCATCATCATTCCAACATCATCGTTCCATCATCATCACCCTCGTCGCCATCAGCCTGATCATAATCATCATGCTAATCAGCATCATCATCCCCGTCCAGAACCGCACCCATTCTTATCCTCATTCCCTTCATCCCAATACTCGTCAGCATCATCATTAGCGTCATTAGCATCAGCACCATCTTGCCCACAGCCACACTCATCCTCATCCCCACCACCGTCATCATTATCATCAGCATCACCAGCATCACCATAATCAGCATCAGCAGCACCATAATCAGCATCATCATCACCATCATCAGCATCATCATCATCCTGCCCACAAGCAAGCTCATCCTCATCCTCGTCCTCATCCCCCTCATCCTCATCGAACCACCGCCATTACCAACATTGTCATCACCCTCATAAGCGTCAACATCATCCTGTCCAGAGCCGTAGTCAGCATCGTCCCTATCCCATCATCAGCATCATCATCATTATTATTATGCCCACACCCACAATCGTCCGCTTCCTTGCATGCCCCTCACCACCATCGTCAGTACCATCACAACCACAATCATCATCAGCATCAGTACCACCCTGTCCACAGCCACAACCATCCTCATCCTGATCCCCATCCCTCTCATCGCCATCACTATCATCATCATCCTCACCATCACAACTATCATCAGCATCATCAGCATCAGCACCATGCTGGCCACGACCACCCTTATCCTCATCTTCATGCTCATCCCCCTCATCATTATCGTCATCGTCATCATCACCACCATCATCAGCATCATCAGCAACAACATCATCCTGTCCACACCCACATTCGTCCGATCCTCATCCTCATCCCCCTCCTCATCATCATCAGCAGCATCATCATCATCATCATCATCGTCGTCGTCATCGTCGTCGTCAACATCATCATCACCATCATCACCATTATCAGCATCATTAGCATCAGCATCATCCTGTCCACAACCACCCTTATCCTCATCCTCATCCCACGCATCCTCATCATCAGCACCATCATCGTCATCCGCATCACAACCATCATCAGCATCATCAGCATCAGCATCATCCTGCCCACGACCACCCTTATCCTCATCCTCATGCTCATCCTCATGCCCTCATCATCATTATCGTCATCATCATCATCACAACAATCATCACCATCAGCAGCATCAACATCATCCTGTCCACAGCCACAATCATCCGCATCCTCATCCGTATCCCCCTCATCATCATCATCATCACCACCGTCATCACCATCATCACCATTATTAGCAGCAGTACCATCTTGTTCACAAGCACAAATCATCCTCATCTTCATCCTCATCTTCCTCATCAATATCATCGTCGTCATCATCATCACCATCATAATCATCATCGCCATCATCATCAGTATCATGCTGTCCACAAAACACAATCATCCTCATCCTCATCCTCATCCCCCTGATCATGAGCATCATCATCACCATCATCATCAACATCATCAGCAACCTGTCTACAACCACAGTCATCCATATCCTCGCCCCCCTCATCATCATCATCATCATCATCATCATCATCATCATCGTCATCATCATCATCATCATCATCATCATCATCATCAGCAGCAGCAGCAGCAGCATCACCATTATCACCATCATCATCACCATCACCATCACCATCGTCATCATCATCATAATCATCATCATCACCATCATCATCACCATCACTGTCACCATCACCATCGTGCTCATCATCATAATCATCATCACCACCATCATCATCACCACCACCATCACCATCATCGCCATCATCACCACCATCACCATCACCATCACCAACATGAACCTCAACATTCTCATCCTCATCACGGCCCTCCCACCCCCTCGACCGGTCGCCACCCATAATAATGCTGGGCCGGCACGGAGGCGAGACTTGCCGCAGGCAACTGGAGAATTAGATGTATAGAGATATTCACAATGTGTATTGAGAGAGAGAGAGAGGAGAGAGTGAGAGAGAGAGATAAAGAAAGAGAGAGAGTGATAAAGAAAGAGAGAAAGAGAGAGAGAGAGATAAAGAAAGAGAGAGAAAGAGAGAGAGAGAATGAGATAGGAATACTTGTAAAGAAAGAGAAAGAGAAAGAGAGAGAGAGAGAGAGAGAGTGGCAGCGATGGGGAGGTTGAGGAATGCGGGGAAGGAGGTAGCGAGGAAGGCATGGAGACGAGCAGCCTTCGATCTCCGCAGAGACCGGAAGCTGCAGAAGCACACGTATGTTCAACCGATGTCACCTCCTAGTGATGGCGCAGCGGTCGACCTCTGGTTCAATCCCCTCGAAGAAGGCGTGGAGCTTAAGCCGCTGAGCGGATAGGCGGCTGACGGGGTTGTAAGCGAAACACAGTCGGAGCATCTCCACGCCAGTCTCGCCGAGAGCTGGCCCAGCCGAGCGCGTGCTCTCCAGACGCGTGTCGGGCCAACGCGGGAAGCTGTGCTTGAACTCGCGCAGGGAAGAAACGCCCGGCCAGACCTCGTCGGTGGGAGTTCCCAGGAGGCGGAAGATCTTGAAGATCGTGTCGATCTGCGAGTCGCCCGGGAAGAGAGCCTGCGCGGTGGCCATCTCCGCGATGAGGCAGCCCAGCGACCAAATGTCCGTGGGCGTCGCGTACTTGGTCTGCCCGAGAAGCAGTTCGATGGCGCGGTACCACAGCGTCACCACCTCGTGCGTGTAGGCCCGCAGCGGCACGCTGTAGGCCCTCGCGAGCCCAAAATCGGCCAGCTTCAGGCGGCCCGACTCTATGTCGATCAGGACGTTCTGAGGCTTCAGGTCTCGATGAATGATGCGGTGGAGATGGATGTACTCGATGGCGCACGAGCACTGGTACGCAGCGCCCCTCAAAGCGGGCGGGTCAGTGTAGGCCCCATGCCTCCGCAGGTACATCCGCAAGTCCATGTCCAGGAACTCGAACAGGAGATGCAGGGCGGACGGCGTCGGAATGATCTCGTACAGCTTTATGATGTTCGGATGGCTGCACTCCCTGACCAGCGACACCTCGCGGATGGCGGTGCTCGGCACGCCCTCCTCGTCGTATTGGATCGGGATCTTCTTCAGGGCATACGGCTGCCTTGACTGTTTGTCCACCACCTTTGAGCATGGTTTGGCCGATCCCTCTCCCCACTGGCGTGGCCCTGGCCCCACTGGCCATATGACCTCTCCCTAGACGGGGAAAAAGGCTGTTCCCTTCGGGCTTCGAGGGGCACATCCCAAACCAGGGTGCTGAGATCCTCGGGCTCGGGATGGGGACAGGGAGTCGGCTCAACGATGCGGAGCCTTGTAGACCTTGCCGTACGTGCCCTCCCCCACCATCCCGTGCATGTCGAACCTGGACAGCACCGGGGAGCCGTGCTCCTCCATCTCGGGGTCGCCCCCCGCGCCGCCGCTGGGCGCGTCGTCCGGTTCCGGCGCCGGCTCCCCGGCGTCCCACCAGCCAGGGTGGCCTGCTGGGCCCATGTTCCACCACCACTACTGTGGGTAGAAGAGGGGGGGGGGGAGGAGGAGGAGGAGGAGGAGGAGGAGGGGGAGGAGGAGGAGGAGGAGGAGGAGGAGGAGGAGGAGGAGGAGGAGGAGGAGGACGAGAAGGACCAGTGTAAACCCATGAGTCATCAACAATGTTGGAATTACCCCTCCCTCCAAGCTCCTTCTTCATAGGCCCCTACAGCGGTTCATTTCCATTGAAGGAACTGCCTCGTCGGAAGACAACCGTTTGTAGATCCTGAAGCATGCTATAACATTGTTCTCGAGAGTTCAACACCACCTGGCTGCTGCGTCTTGATGATCTGGAACCGTGCCAAAACGCCTTCTTATGACTTCAACACCGCGAATCAACATAACTGTTGCACCCGCACAATCCTGCATCCTTTCAAAACAAGATTTCTGGTACGCTGACCATGGCAATCCGTGAAACTCTTGACAATGTTTCAAACTCATGTGCGCAGCGCGTAGGCGAGACCCACATTTTGAAAACCACCCGCCATCAATCCGTGAAGCTCTTGCACAGTTTGAAAACGAATGTGCGCGGCGCTGAAGCGAGAACCACATTTTGGAAACCACCCGTCCTCAATCCGTGAAGCTCTTGCAACTTTTGAAAACGAATGTGCGCGTCGCTGAAGCGAGAGCCACATTTTGGAAACCACCCGCCCTCAACCCGTGAAACTCTTGCACATCTTGAAAGCGAATGTGCGCGGCGCTGAAGCGAGAGCCACATTTTGAAAACCACCCGCCCTCAATCCGTGAAGCTCTTGCAAACTTTGAAAACGAATGTGCGCGGCGCTGAAGCGAGAGCCACATTTTGAAAACCACCCGCCCTCAGCCCATGAAATTCTTGCAAACTTTGAAAACGAAAGTGCGCGGCGCTAAGGAGAGAGTTACACTCTGAAAACCACCCGCCCTCAATCCGTGAAGCTCTTGCAAAGTTTGAAAACGAATGTGCGCGGCGCTAAGGCGAGAGCCACATTTTGAAAACGACCCGCCCTCCATCTGTGAAACTGTTCTCACTGTTTAAGCTTCAGAATCATAAGTTGTGAGGAACTCTCAGGCGAAATGCCCAGCCCGCCGAAAAAAGTGGCCTCGGGGTGCGACAAGGAATAATTATCCACAAAGAGAAGGAATGGAGGAGGAGGAGGAGGAGGAGGAGGAGGAGGAGGAGGAGGAGGAGGAGGAGGAGGAGGAGGAGGAGGAGAGGAGGAGGAGAGGAGGAGGAGGAGGAGGAGGAGGAGGAGGAGGGGGAGGACGAGGAGAAGGAGGAGGAGGAGTAGGAGGAGACCAGCGTAAGAAGGGTCAATGAGGAGGAGTAGGAGGAGGAGGAGGAGGAGGAGGAAGACCTCCTCATCCTCCCTTCTCTCCCGTCCTACATATGGTACTGGTGGTGGACAATTTGCGCATCATGGCCGTGGCCACCGCCCGCGCTGGCGCCCTGGGCGGCCATCGGGCCCGCTCCGGCTGCTCTGCTGGGCGGTGAGCCCGCTGCAGCCCGTGCTGGCGCCGCCCCCCCGCCTAGGCGCCGCCCACCGGCGCCAGGGGGGGGAGGAGGAGGAGAGCAGGGCTGGACCTTAACGTTGTTATTCGTTTTGCTTTCGTTTTGTTTTTCGGTTTGCTCTACCTATTTTCCTGTACCTCCCTGCCAAAACGAAAGACAAAACACAGCCGAAGTCCAGCAAAACAGCGTTTAGGTCCAGCCCTGGAGGAGAGGTACCGCCTCTGGCGCGAGACCCCAGATCGGCCCCTTTCCCCAAAAGGGGCCTGCACCAAAAAACGGCTGCAGCCAACGCTTGCCGTGGTGATGACGACTTTGGCCCCTTCCCCCCCTTCCCCCAGAGAATCGTAGTGACGACGTGCCTCTGGGTCCGCGGGACAGGATTGGGGGTGCCCACCTCTTGTTCACTTGCAGTGTATACTCGATTTGGGGCCCCCCAAGTCCCAGGGGAAAAACATAGGAGGACGGGACCAAGCCCTGCCCTCCCAGGTAAGTCCCGCCCCAATAAATCATTCAAAGAGGTTACTTTTCCTGTCGCTGGAACTTACTTTCACAAACGTGTGTGCCCTGGGAGGCGGTCTGGAACAACCCAAGGTCGAGGGGTTGAGATCCAAAACAAAAAATCAACCTTCATCCTTTTTACTTACTACTGTGCTCCGGCGCACTGCTTGGTGGTTTCGCAGGCTTCTCTGGAAGCTTTCGACAAACAACCTTTGGCTGTGCGGTCTGCAGATTTGCATTGTTCCGAGAATAGATCTGGCATGGACGTCTTGAGGAGTACTGGGCAAGATTCTGAGCGAAGAGATGGAAAAATCGGAGACAATCGATTCGTAATATGTTCAAGGTCAGCTTGCCTCTCGAAACCATCATCTGGCGGCTCGAGGATCCTCTTGGGGCCGTGACATCACATAGTTTCCGCCACATCGCTTGCACCGCATAGATCACACCACATTGTTTACACCACACAGCTTGCATCGCAAGGCTTACGACTACACGATATAGCTTACACCACATAGCTTCCAAAACATAGCTTACACCACTATTGCACCACATGGTTTGCACCACATATAGCTTGTACAACACAGTTTGCAGATCCACCATGCCATACTTTACGAGTTGAGGTCCATTTTAATATATATATATATATATATATATATATCAAAACGCTGCAATGCATTTTTGTTTGCTGACACAAACAGCTAGTTACCAGATGCCTGCGTGCTTTCTCTGGAATCACATGAAGACAACTGGTATGTTTTGCATTTCTGTCAACTTAGAGCATGGAAACCACATGCACGCGTGCACGTCGAGAGCATTCAACAATAGTCGCGCGCCCGCCGACTCTGTCAAATGACATGATGTGGGCCACAAGCACGCGTCGCCGCGCGCGCACGTCGAACACTTTTCAAAACGAATTAAATACAGATGTGTTCAAACACATGAGAAACCCCAATGCTTCTGCCATAAACGATTTGCCAGAACTAATGAATTTCTGTGCGCACGCACTTCGTCGTCATCCTCATCAGCACCATCAATCTATCGCCAGCGTCATCATGGGCGTCACCATCATCAGCAGCATCGTCACCATCGCCGCGTCATCATTATCTTTATCACCGCCGTCGTCATCGTCATCGTCGATGCCGTCCGTCTCCCTTGTCATCTTCGCCACCACCATTACATCATCATCATCATCATCATCATCATCATCATCATCATCATCATCATCGTCATCGTCATCGTCATCATCATCGTCATCGTCATCGTCATCGTCGTCATCATCATCATCATCATCATCATCATCATCATCATCATCATCATCATCATTATGATCAGCATCATCATTAACCTCATCATCATCATCATCATCATCATCATCATCATCATCATCATCATCATCGTCGTCGTCGTCATCGCCGACATCATCACTACAATCATCACTTGCCCGCGCGAGTCATGCATATGCATGCGCAGGATCCACACGTCACTGCGACACTTGAGATTCGCACGCAAGCTCCGATGGGCAACTGCACCTACGGCCTGCGTGACTTTTTCCAACAAGTTGCGGGTGAGCGGGTGGGATGGATGACTGTTCGAGCATGGGAGGTGGTCACCCCCAGCGCAGGCAAAATTAATTGCACCCATACTGTGCTGGAGAACCGAGAATACACAATAGACAGTGCGTGATCTCCACCTGGCCACAACCAGCACTGTCCCCGTGAGAGGGACTTGCTCACAGTGCGGCTCGTAACTGCAAAGCCTTTTACTCATCATTTCGATCAGGGGAAAGGCGCTAAAATATCGGCTCGGCCTCTGAGGCCTGCCGAATCTCGGACTGGCCCAGCAGTCAACAACAGTGCATGTCACCATGCAAGACCAAGTAACGAATTACAGCAAGCCGCATGATCAACCCAACTGGCGTGCAACAAGAGAGACCCCCCCACACACACAGCTCCACATGCTTCTGCCCCAGGTGAAATTAACGCAGCTGGCGTGTGGGAGCAGAGCAAAGAGAATAAGGAGGACCGCGAAGAGAAGCTGCTGAACTTTGATAGACTCTGCGGCGAGCCCAGGGGGAAAATGAAAAGGAGAAGGCCTTGTCAGAAGGCTCGGAAGTCCCCGAGCCTTCCGAGAAGTGTTCTGAGCCTTCCCCGAAGACACAACAGCATATGATAAGGCGCGAGGGCTGCTTCTGAGAAGTCCCGCCGCCTTCTGAGAGGTCCTTCTCCTTCTCACTTCCCCCCCCCCCCTTGCTTTATGATGTTGCAACCTACTTTAGCCGTGATCACCAACAAAAAACTTCGAGCACCAAGAAAGTACCGGAGCTGGAGGGCTCTCACGTGTCGGGCCCTGGGAGGCGACACTCGTTCGACACTTTTTCGATACTTCTCTGTGTGCTCGCAATTATTTATGGGATGTGGTCCTGAAGTACGGTGAGAGCAACATAACCCTTGCTCGCCGCTGATGGACGGGCCAAGCCACATACTCGCCGTGATTCTGATCATGCGATCGATCAGACCTGCCTCTGCCTCGTCTGCACGGCCCCTGCTCTGCTTCAGGCCGGCCAGGTTGTTGATGCTCGCCAGCGTGTCCGGGTGCGCGAGGCCGAACCTTCGGTCTATACAATAGACAAGGGTGGAGCGGGGCGGGGAAGGAAGGCGAAAGAGAGAGGCGACGGATGGACACGACGACACGAAGGAACGTGGGGCTGGAAGGAGGACCGTGACAAAAAAAAGAAAGAGAAATGGAGAAAGAGAGACGTAGAAAGAGAGAGAGAGAGAGTGAGAGAGAGGGAGGAAAAGAGAAACAGAAAGAGAGAGAGAGAGAGAGAAGGAAAGGGAGAGAGAGAGGGAGAGAAAGAGAGAGGGATGTAATGAGGGACTACTTCGCAAGCGAGTTTGAGTCAGAGAGAAAAGGATATAGAGTGAGAGAACGAGAGATATACACACATGTCTACGTGCATTTATACATATATATAAAGAGAGAGAGAGAGAGAGAGAGAGAGATTCCCCAATCAATGCTTGCACTGAAGGGGTCCTAGCGGAGATTGAAAAATTTGGCGAAAATGACAGGCCGATTTCGGTAAGCGGCCGGGCTCCCGGGTTCTAGGTTCCGGGTTTCGGGCCGATTTCAGGTTCCGGGCCGATTTCAGTGGGCGGCGGGGTTCCCGGGCTCCTGGTCGATCTTCTTATCGATCGGTCTCATCATCGATCTCATCACCCACCTCTCCATCGCTCTCACTATCGATCTCACTATAGATCGCACGAGCGGTCTCGCGATCGATCTCACTATCGATCTCACTAAATTGACTTCACTACCGGTCTCACGATCGACCTTACTATCGTTCTCACTATCGATCCCAGTATCAATCTCACCATCGATCTCAATATCGATTTCACTCATATTCGAATAACCATACACTGATTCGGTTTTTGCCCTGGTGTGAAATACGTATATTTATGAAACGAGTGAGGGAGAGAGAAAGAAAGAAAGAAAGAAAGAAAGAGAGAGAGAGAGGAGCACAAAAGAGACAGAGACAGATACAAGCACACACATCCATATATATATATATATATACACAGGACTGCAGTGGCGCTTCGCGCCATGCACCTTGGTCCTTGAAGTTTGGTATCAGGCGGAATGGCAGGAAGGTCAAGCCGACAATTTAGCGATAACTCCTTGTTGCCTTTTCTGGCACCGCCGTTATAATAATGTCATTCGTTATCCTTCCTCCATGCTTCTTTTTCCTCGTTCTCGCCATACCCTACGCATTCTCCCAATCCTCCTCAGCTCTTGTTGCGGAGGCTCCTCCTTGGAGAGCCTAACTAGGGGCCTCACAAAAGTTTTCTTAAGGCCTTCTGGAGGCCTCCTGGGCGTGTTCTGGGGGCCTCTGGGGGCTTCCTCGGGCCACCCTGCCTCCAACCGCTGTCTCCCTGTACGATCAGGTCACGATTTGTTGGAATGCTTCGGAGGGTGTCTTGGGGCCATCTTAGGGCAGCCGTGGGGCTCTCTCAGGGCCATCTCTTGGACCCCTGTTGTGCCGCTTTGGGGCTCTCTTGGACTGCCTGGAAGCCCTGTCGAATGGTTGTGGGGCGATGTGGGAGCAGCCTCCCAGACAGCCTCCCAGGCGGCTTCGGACGCCCAGAAGACCGCCGTGTTGGAGCGTCGGGAAGCCGAAAAGAGGAGAACCTCAGAATTCACCAAAAACCTATACAAAATCAATGATCTCCGCCTCTTGCGGCCTTCTTGTGAGTGCTCTTGGAGGCCTGTTGGGACGTTTCGGAGCGATCTTTGGGGGTATGACGGCTTCTTGGGGGTCGTCGTGGACCGTATTGGAGCTCTCTGGGGTCGTTTCGGGAGCGCGCCAGAACGCCTGGAACCCGTTCGGGGCCGTCTTCGGACTCTCGTGAGGTTCTCCCAGGTCGTCTGAAGGGTTGCCCGGAGGCCCAGGGAGGGCCAAATTCGTTAGTGGGTGGGGGGGGCGCTTTTCTGGCGTCCTCGGCCCTGTAAAAATATATGGATAGGAATATATACATACCTATAGTCATACATGGAGCGCATCATAATATACATCCCACCAGCCCTCGGGGCGTGGGCGGTTTAGGGTTTTCGCTCTTCCAACCCAGTTCTTCCCCTTCGCAAGAAAAAAACTGCACTGCTCCTTGTGAAAATGCACGCCGTCCCCCACTCGACTGGCGACCGACCAGGAACAAAGCCCCCCCCATCATCCCAGTCAACACAGAATGCAAACTGCGCTGTGAGGCAAAATCTAAATCATGCTCGGGCG